TGGGTCTAACTGGCCAAGAATTGAAACAAAAGCCAATCATCACTCCCCAAGGTGGTATTTTAGGTAGGGCCACATGCACATCTGGAAAGGGGGCAGAGGGAGCAGAAGGAGGCAAGAAAGGAGTCCCTACTTAGGGAATTTTTGTTGGCCTGACCTCAAGTGCAAAGTATTAAATTAATCATAACTTTTGGTTCATGACACACTCGACATTGGTCCATGCAGGGTTCACTTTTATTTAATTTTTTATCAGCTATTAGATCTTTACTAATGTACAAATACCTTCAAACCCATCCTCCCCACACACACAAATAGAGTTAAAGCACTAACACTAACTAACCCCATGGTTTTCCCCACCTATCGATCCCCCTGCCTCACCCTAACTTCTCCCTAAATCCTGTGTGCACATCACCTTGTTTTTTCTTTTTACATAGTTTTATTGCAGCTATATATATTCCTAAAAGTTTTTTTCTTTAACTATTCATACGTGTATAAAAGCTGTTGTGCTGTATCTTTTGGTGCATTTCTTTTACTTAAGGTCATATTAACAAGGTTTGTCCATATATTTACAAGTCACTGTCGTTCATTTGTTTTGACTGGGTTTAATTCTCCACTGTGTGAGTACATCTCAATTTATTCATCTGCCCACCAACTGATGGGCATTGGGGCTTTTTCCAGCCTCATGGTATTGTGAACACAGTTACATATGTCTCCTTCTGGACATGAGTTTCTCTTGGGCATATATACCTGGAAGTGGAATCGCTGGGCCATGGAAAATTGAATGTTCAACTTTAGGAGGTAATCAGACAATATCAAAATGTTTTCCATTTGATTGAATGTCCTAGAGTTTCTAAGATAATTGTTTCCTCTTCCTGCCCTCCTCAATGTTGTTCCTTTAAATTTCATATGTCAGCTGTATCAAAATGTTCAAACCAAGTTCTTGGCCAAATACCTAAGTAGCATCTCAGTTAAATCACCCACGTGGAAAAGAAGGCTTCTTTTTAGGCACACAGGTAATAAGGGCATCTATGCAGACACAAGGACCCACCCTGGTCCAGATACTGAGGCAGGCTAATCAAATGCAAGGTAACTGTCTAGAAGCTGCTTTACATTTGATAAATGCAAGGTTAGAAAAAAAAATTTAGGGGAGAGCTAAAACCTGTTTCCCATCCAAGTTTGCTTGCTCAGTCTCTCCTCCCTGAAACCTCGTATAACCAACATACATACTTATTTTTAAACAAAGAACGAAATCCTAAAAATGAGTTAAAAAATCATTTGTAATTAACCAATTTCAGGTTTAAATGAGAGCAGGGCATCCAGCTTGGAAAACACTGTACAGTTCAATTTATTTCAATAAATATTTATAGAATGCTTTGCAGTGAGACCCATAAGATCTCTATTCTGCCCTCAAGGGTTTTTGAGCTTGTTCATTTAACAGGACAGGATTGTGCACAGAGTGCCAAAGGGGCCAGTTAGTGCTAAGACGATGACGATGCTGCCCTGTTTCAAGATGCTCACTGCAGAAGGATTAGCAAAAGTTAGAACACAAGTGAATCAGATATAGAAGTTGTTCGAAGGTGAGAGTGATCAATTCTAACCGATAGGGTGTTCTGCATGAAACTTCCTAGAGAGTGATGCTGGAGCTGGGTTTTGCAGGATGAACCAAGTAAGTGACAGGAGAGAGACAAATAAAGTATAAATCTGAAACAATTAAAAAATCAAATTTCTTCATCAGACTTCTTGACCTTCCCATTTCTCCTATTTCCCAAATTTCTTAAACTCCTTCCTGCCTACGGTCCTGCTAAAGCACCAAAAAAAAGTGGTACTCGTGGATCACAGTGAAACACACATTATCAGCATTTATTTGTTCATTCCACAAACAGCACCGAAGTCAATCCCCTGTGCTGAGCTCTGGGGATACACCAACGGACAAGACGGGCACAGTTCCCACCCTCACCTACCTCCTGGTCCGGATCCTTCGAGAGCAGACAGAGGATTAGACAAAGACAGGCAGTTGGTTTAGCTTGACCATCCGCCAGACTCCATCAGCCCAGGAAAGCCCCTCCCCCATCCCATCCTACCCCTGAAAACATTTTTAGTAAATTGTACAGGATTAAAGAAGTGGCTGTCTCCTTGGTAATTAAAAGGATCCTGACCAGTGTCCCAGGTAGCCATGCAGCTGCTGAGAGCTGAGAGACTAAAAACTCAGGTGCTTCCTACATAATAGCCTCCAATCTGATACTTGATCACTGCTGGTTTCCAGAGTCAAACAAATGTCAGGAATTTTATGAAGGCAGGAAGCAAATAAGGGGGCAAGGATTGGGGTCTAGGCCTCAGGGGAGCTCAATTAGTGAGCCAGATAAAGTTAAACTGAAAGGGCATGCTCTCAGTTTCCTAGAAAGCCAGCTGGAAAAGATGCCAATCCTTAAGCCTCTGTCACTCAAAAGATTAACAGAAGAGACCCAGGGGTGCCCAAGGGAATACTGCAACAAGCCAGATGTTTCTGCTCCTCCTATGACACTGCCACTCAACACCAGAGCCACACTTCAGAGGCCACCAAGAAGCCACAGAAGAGAGCTAGAGTCTTTTGGGACAGGTGGGAACTCAAAGACCCTTTAGTGAGACAGACACCCCAAAATAGTATTAACTCTTTCTGACAAACTCGCCTGTGCATCTGAGTTCAGTATTTTCTCATTGAGCCATCTCTTCCTTTAATAGCAGCGGCATCCGAGGTTGGACGAACATTCCCTACAGCTGCTTGGTGGTGTGGCAAGCACACAACCTGTAAATCCATATAAACTGGGATTTGGCTCCCAGAGCTGCATATGCACCATGAGTGTCATGCAAGCTGTTTAGCCTCCCTGAATTTCACTTGCAAAATATTCTTATGAGCATAAACAATCCTGGAAATGCCTAACCCACGTGTTCATAAATGGTAGCCTTACTGTTGCCTATAAAAACATTCAGGTAACCACATGCTCAAAACAGCAGCTTCCCCTGGGTACTTTCTAAACACACACACATGCACACACACACACACGTGTGTGTGTGCATGTGTGTGTGTGTGTGTGTGTGTGTGTGTGAGAGAGAGAGAGAGAGAGAGGAGAGAGAGAGAGAGAGAGAGAGAGAGAGAGAGAGAGAGAGGTTGCAGCTGGGGCACATACAAACCTATTTACAGACTTACAGTTCCTGTGTATGTTCTATCACTTCTATCAAATTTAAAAAAAACTAAAGAAGCTGAAGGGAGACTTAACCAATGCCCCTATTTTCCCGTGAAGTCCCTAGCTTTCCCCTAAAAGTTGCTTCCTCCAATTTCAGGCAAGGCAGGGAAGGAGAGCCATATGGCTTGAGAAGCTAAACCTGCCCAGCAGCAAACAAGCCCCCCACCATTTGTCTCCGGGCCTCTCATGTGGGCGGGCATCCAGATTTCAGTTGGGGTGCTCTGTTCTGCGTCTCTGTCTTGGCTGTTCCTAATTATTGGAGAGAACACCATGGCTCTCTTGACCTCAGAGTTTAAGAGCTGTGAGTCCTAATATCAAACCAAGCAGCTTCATTTAAAAGGCATCCTCATCTGCATCCATAAAAGTCACTCCCGGAGCCCTTACTTGCCCCAGCTTTGAGAATGCCTGCTGTCGAGGATTTATGACACTCCCTGGATCTAATCTGCCGCACTTTAACTGCTGCTGTTGCACATCTGGTCATAAAAGCAAGGGCCGGCCCAACACGGGGACAAACACTTTTCTTTCCTAAGTGGCTGCAAATCTGATCTCACAGTGATAGCTGGGCTCGGATATAATCAGCCAGCATCTGGGCAGTCATTAAGGCTCGTCAAACTTTGCAAGGCTTTTGCTCCACACACGACAGCTATAAAAATGATTCTCATATAGCAAGCGCTATGAATAAAGAACCTGCAATCTGAACAGGTGGTCATGAGGCGAGGCCCAAGGATATCCAGGAAAGCACACGTTGGTGAAGCAGCCGACCTTGTTTTTACAAAGATTCTAGCTACTTCCATGGACTCTCACCATGCCGGTGAGGCAAGCAGCTACCCTGAGAGGCGACTGCCCTGACATAAGCTAACTCTTGGCCAGAGATTGTCTGGATAAGTTCGGTCAGATGAACAACAAGGTGGTTTAACAGAAAAATGTTTAAGGCAGTGGAATCCTTCATTAGATCAATTGTGGGGGGTCGGGGGAGCAATAATCTAGACCAGAAATGAACAAAATGCCGTGGGTTCCAGGAGTTTTACAATGCCCTGGACAGCCTATCCTGTGTACAGAATTGGCACGTTTTATATCGTTCAGAAACTCCAATCAGACCAAGGTTCAACAAATAACCCAAGCTCCCAGCCCCGAACCCAGGGGAAGAGACCCTTGCACACTGCGCAGCTCCTCTCCACCACCTCTTCACAGCCCCCCACATCTACCCCTCCTCCAGGGCTGTGCGCAGCAGGAAAGAGCATTAAAATTATCTGCTGTGGGTTTTACGAGCAGCGATCGCTTTTTAAAACAACAACAACACAAGGTCCTTGTGTGGCTCTCGGGTAACCTAAAACTCTGGAGGCAGAGCTGCCCCCCCCCCCCGCCGCCTGCCAAGAACGCCAGCGCTCCGAGAGCGGGTGCAGTCTGAGACCACAGGGCAGCCCTACTTGAGCGGAGAGCTAGCCTCTCTGGGACTCAGGAGGCACCTCTAAGGGTCTTGGAGCAAAACGCCCTGGGAGAAAACATTGGGGGGAAAAACCACCAGTGACAGTTCGGGGGGATAAGAGAGTAGGCACGAGTCGGTGCTGCAAGAAAGGATTAAGGGTGGGGGAAAGACAATGGTCGAAATTTTTATTTCAGTAACTTCTCCAAGAAGCCGGCAGGGGACTTGTTAATAGGTGAAGGGGGGGGGACAAGGTTTGACACCTCCCTTTCCTTCCCCCCACCCCCAGCCCCCAAGGATGTGTGCGAGCGACCTCGGTCTCCCTCTGCAGGTGGGCGCGTGGCAGGGGGCGCACTTACCCGGGGGCCCGTGGTGCGGTGGCCGCGAGCCGGGGACAGCTGCACCAACATGAGCAGCAAGTGGGGCGTGAGCAGGCGGGCGCAGTGCGCGGGCAGCATGGTGCCAGCGGGCTGCGGGCCGGGCTAGCGGGCTCTGCGGGGCGCACAGCTGCGCCTGCCTCGCTGCCTTCCTTCCCTCCCGGGCGCTGGCGGCGGCGGCGGCGGCGGCGGCGGCGGCGGGCGGCGGGCAACGGAGGTGCGGCGCGGGCTGGCGGAGGCTGCGGGCAGAGCGCACGGTCATGAACCGCGAAGGAGGGAGCTGGAGTGCGAGCGTGTGCTCTGCGCGCGGCACTCACTCGGCTCGGCCAGGCCGCGGCGGCAGCAGGTTGGATGCCAGAGCCCGGGCCATGGGAATTCCCGTTATAAACCCCCAGGAGGGGCGGGGCGGAGCCTGGCGGTCCTGATTGACGGGACGAGAGGCCCGTAGCAGCCGCCCTCTGGCAGGTGAAAGCCAATGGGAGAGAGGAAAGAGGGGCGGCTCGCGATCAACCCCACTGAGGAGCGACACACGGTTACTCCACAGCAATGGGCTCCGAGAGAGACTGGGGTCAAGAGGAAACCTAAGAGAGCTCCATTAGCCTTAACCTACCAAAGTGCCCACCCAGCTAATAATTCCTTAAACATGTATAGGTTTCAGCTCGAGTACATGAGTTGTCGCAACAGCCCAATTAAATAAGCAGGGAAAATACTCACAGCCCCATTTTTAAGATGAGGGTGCTAGGACGCAGAGGCGCTAAGAAATCTTCTTCCCGCTGCATCAACACCAGGAAGAACTGGAAAGTCGCCAGATGAGCTGCACAGAGCAGGCTGTGACCAGCGTTGGGGGTGGGGAGCTTCTTTCAAAGAAGCTTCCAGAGGGTGATAACCCAAGTCCTGCAGCGGTTGCCCCAGGAGAAGTGTCGAGGAAACAAAGTGAAGCACTGCTAGGCATCTGCCTGCTGGGGGTGGGGGTGCCTGTGGGTGAGGGGTAATGCCCACTGTGGCCTATAGTAGATCTGGAATTAGAACCCAGGCTTCTGGCTCCCTGCCTTGAACTGTAGGTCCAAGGGGCAGCCTTTGTGTGGCCTAGGAGCCCTGGGAGGGGGGGGTTAGAGGGGCCCTGGTCGCCTAGCGGGGGAGAGGGAAGAGAAAGCATCCATGGGAAAGATAGTGTATGAGTATAAAGACCCTAGAAGTGGCTCAGAGGAAGGAGGGAAGACCTCTCCTGGATGCCCTACCCACTTGGAGATGACAGCACAGCAAGGGATCCAGTCAGGTGTTGGAGGGCTCTGCCCAGGGTGGTCCCCAGAAGACCATCTTGCAAATGATCACAGCCACATCACACCAGCTCCACAACCAGAGCAAGGTGGTCTACTGCATCCACCCAAGAGAACCACAGTTTCTCTTCTTACGTGGAGTACAACTCCTTAGAGTTTACTTCCATGAGTGTGGACCACTCACTTCAGGAGGAAGAATTCTTTTCTCCAGCCAGATTGGAAGTAGCACCAGCACTTAACTCCTCCTCCCTGTCTGGGCTTGAGAGGTGCTGACAAAGGTTAGCACTGCTCCCTTATGACTTCTCTCCTGGGTTGTATGGACAAGCTTCCCACCCAACTCCTGCATTCAGTTTTGCCCACTCCCCTTGCCTTCCCCATCCAGCCTCTACCCTGCAGGCAGTCATTCTTCCAAAGAGCAAACCTGAATCCACCACTCCCTGTTTAAAATGCTTCAAACCTCCCCAGCGCCTTGAGATTAAAAAGCCCAGACTGGGTGCTGGAACACTAACAAAGCACTTGTGGTTCTCCAAACAAAAAATGAAGACCACCTCTAAGAGAACTGCCTAGCTTCCTTGGCTTGGAAATAGTGCAGTGGCCAGAGTGCTCTCTGAGCCAGGCAGGATGGGTTCAAATCCTGGGTCTGCCACCTAGTGGTATAACCTTGCACAAGACACTTTACTTGTGTGGGGTCCAGTTTTCCCCTCTGTAAAATGGAAAAACCATCCACCTCATGAGTTGTTGTCCATACTAAAAGAGATGAAGTATACAAAGCCCTTAGAATGGTTGGTTAGCTTAGAAATATTACCATCTGACATACAAAGAGGACAGAACAAATGCCTCATCTCATTTTATCCTCAGAATGGTCCTGTGGAGTAGATAGATCCAACTTCACAGAAAGGTAAATGGTTACTCCATGAGATTGTGACTTGCCAGGCCTCATTTGGCTGGTAAATGACATCCAAGATTCAAGCCCAGGTTTTCAGAGTCTAATTCTGCTTCTGTCATGTGATGGCTGTGATGTTTCATCTCAAATGCCATAGGCTTAGACGTTCCCTGTGTGCTCATAGGGAATTTCTTCAGTGGCTTGCAAAAGGAAATGAGACTTCTGACTTCATTGAACTTCAGGGGAAGAGCGTGGAAACAGCAAGGGTCAGCCCTTCCTGAAAACAGCCCTTGTGATCTGCATCCTGGGGATATGCCCAGCTGGACTTGTGACACTTGTCCGGTAATACCGTCTCATGCAGCACTTACATCAATTCCCATGTGCCCACCTAAGTGTTTACCCATCAAAGGCTCGGCAGGATGGAAATGTTACCATCAGGCTCAGCAGCCTGACAGGTTTGTCCTGAATCTACCACCTGGTCATATGCACCCCATCAAGCTGGTCCACTTCTTTCTGTTGCTGGAATTATTGAGAAATCTGTTGGAGTAAGTAAATATGCTTGAGATGGCCCCCAAGTATCTGGCAGCACCAAATGCCCAGGGAAAAGGCACTGCAGTAGTCCTTTCCATCCATAACACCACATGCTGCTTTCAAGCCAGAAAGCTTATTTCCAAGTGTATGCTGGTCCAAAAGTCTACATTATTCTGGATTTCAACCATGTAGTTTAGTTTAAAATATGAGCAACTGCTTTCCAGTTACTTTGCTAAGCAAGTATTTTCTTTCCCTCTGGTTGGCATGTGGGGCCTGTCGTAACCATGACCATCATTCAAATGATGCATTTTCTTCTCCCAGCTCCTCCCAAGCCCAGAAAAGGTTAAAAATTCCAGAGAACTATTAGTCCCAAACAGTGTCTCTCTGCCAGGCTCAGTCTTCTGATCCAAGCAAAGAGTGAAATTGACAAGTTCCTTCTTTCCCTGGAGACCAGGCTTATCGTCCAAAAATAAATCTCGCTATCCTGGCATCTGGTCTGTCCAGTTTCAGCCATACTCCTGGTCCTGTGAGACTTCTATCTGCAAGGAGATATTTCAGTAGAAGAAATATAATACTTCATATCCAATATTGAGGCCTGAGAGCCTCAAATATTTAGTACTAGCTAGGAACGCCGTTTCAAATATATTTGTGTTTTATATAATCCAGAGGCTTGCCTTCTCTCATTCAAAATAGAACCTTTCCATTCATTTTAGTAAGCACTTTGAAGCATTTCTTTCTGTGCCCAGCACAATGCTTGTCATTATGAGAAATCTTTGGGTGCACACCCTGTCCTCTGAGAGGTTACAATCTAAGACACAGAGCAGACAAATACCTGGAGACCATATTTAAGAGCAAAGTCTGCAAGGCATGTTTGGGACTTAGAAAGCAGGGACCCACTTATAGACCTAATGGGCATAGAAGATCTCATGAAGAAGGTAGATCTTAAATGGAGTGTTGTAGAAAAGTGCTTCTACAATATAAATATACCTTGATTTATGTTTGGTTCACTTGTGACGACAGTAGCAACAGAAAAAGATGAGTTGGGTCTGAGGTCCAAGACTCATTTCAAATACATTGCTGAGCTCAGAAGCCTGGGTTCTGTTTCTGGATTTGTGACTAACTTGCGGTAACACTTAGCATCAGGCTGAGGTAGGTATTATTAGTCCCATTACGCAGATGAGATTGACCTACAGAAGTTAACTTTACTAAGGTCAGTCCCTAAATTTTAAATATAGATGACAATTCATAAATAAATAAATAAATAAATAAAGTGATGGATGTGTTAACTCAATGGTGGAATCATTTCATAATGTAGACATATGTCATATCATCATGTTGTACACCTTAAATATCTCACAATTTTGTTTGTCAATTACACCTCAATAAAACTGAAAAAAAAATATGCATAACAAAAATAATTAGGGTGACTTAAACAATTTAGAAGCTTATTTCTCTCTTTTGTACACAAACTCCTTTCAAAATCTAGGGTAGATCCCTGTAACCCAGACTCCTAGTATCACTCTGTCATTCTTAATAAACAATTTCTACCTCATGGTCCAAGATGGCTGCTCAAGCTCTAGCCATCACATCTGTTTTCCAGTCAACAGGGGGGAAAAGAGTAAAAGAAGAACATGCCTCTTTCTTTAAAGACACTTCCCAGAAGTCACATTTCATTTTACCCATTGACTAGAATGTAGTCATACAACCACAAATAACCACAAAGTAGGCTGAAAAACAGGTAGTCTTAGCACAAGGTGGCAAAAGGTATCCAACTAAACACTCAGGGTTTATGTTACTAAGGAAGAATATAACTAGCAGTAGGGGCTGTCATCATTATGATACCTTGACTTGACAAACAAAAGAACCATGGATAATGCAGTGGAGTCCGGAGTGTTCAGTTGTGGCTTCCCTCTAGCTCTGCATGTCCAGCTCCCTCATACTCAAAAGTATCAATGGCCTTAACTTTAAATGCACTGAATAACCTGAGTGTGAATGTTGAAAATAAAATCAAGATAAAGGTCTACATCAATCAAGTATTTGAGGATGTCTTCTCTGGCCCCCTCAACACCCCCCCCCAGTGCAGCTCATCAGACTAAGATTGTTAACAAACATGACAGTTACCTATGACCACCAGCACATGCTTGTTACATGGCAGACCTTTTCCAAGTGTTGCTTACAGAAAATGGAAGCACCAAGGTTCAAGTTTTGAAACTGCATTTGAATTTGTCTGAAAATCCAGCCATGACAGAAGGACTACTTGGTGGTGCCCACGCGGATTCATCATTCCTTGCCCTTTATGATGGCCACGTGGCAAAGGAGGTTCTGCTTCGAGTTCTTATTTCACTATTTCAGAATATAAATAACTGCCTCAAAAATGAAGGCAATTTAGCTATTCAGCCTACTTGCACTAAAGGTTCACTGTTTTTCCTGTTATATGGGGAAGACTGTGCCCACAAAATGAGAGCTTCAGTTAATCACGATGATGTGGACGTGAAGGAAAAGGTAACAATAATACCAAAATTCTAACTGGTTGGTCATATTTTTCCAAAAAGTAATGCAGTCTGGAAGTAATGCACAGAAACTTATTTTTCATCTTCCTTACAAAGGGATTCTTTCAGCTGCTGAATTTACACAGTAAATATCACGTTTCATCATTTACACAGCTATAACTTGCCATGGTCTTCT